TTCATTCAATAGCTTTCTGGAATACATGGATGAAAACTGGAATGAATGTACAGACATGTGGGTCATGTACAAACGGGCTCGGCTTGCACATTTGCGCGTCCACACTAACAACCACTTGGAGAATTGGTTCGGCCACTTTAAGGATTCGGTTACCCACACAATGTCGATGACTGAAACGATCAAGGCTCTCGTGGGAGCTGACGCACGAATGTCTAGTGAGTATTTGTTCCGCAAGAATCGCGTGGGTCTGCGAATAAACCGAAACTACGATGAAGAGCTGTGTCAAGTGCTGCGGTTTACGACTCACTTTGTCGCAGAGCACGTTCAGAAGGAGTATTTGATGGGCATGTCCAAGGCCGAAGTTTTCGTCTACGATACGGTCTCCAAGCCTGGCTTCGTGGTGGTATCTGGAAAACACAAGGAGCATTATGTGGACTTGTCAAAGTGGAGCTGTTCGTGCAGAGCTAGAGCAGATGCCTAGACCTATAGTTGTAAATGAATTCAAGCCTGGCCAAACAAAGCGGAAGGCACTCGATGCAGCGACCAAGTACAGACAGGCGCTCAGTGCTACACAAGCAATCTGCAACGAACTGGCAGATATAGAGGACGAGGACGAGTACAAAGAGCATCTTGATTTTCTTCTCAAACAGTGCGCGAACATTAGACAGCGGAAGCGTATCAAAATCACAAACTCGAATCCTTTCGTGGAGACTGATGGCGATGACCAAGACACGAAATCACCAACAGAACTGTCGATCAGGTTGAACCCGAAGGCTGCAAAGACCGGAAGACCTCGTTTAAATACGAAAGAGCGCGAGGCCGAAGACAAGAAGAAACGGGCACTGTTTAACGAGTCTGAGAAGCATCGCCGAAAAATGGGGGAAGTTACTCTAGTACAGCTTGCTCAAGATATACAAAGGGAGAAACCGACACTCCAGGAAACGCTAGACCGCGTAAGCCCAATTCCTACCAAGTGGGATAGAGCGAGTAACAAGAAACCGAAGTATGTTCGACAGAGCGCCCCTGTGCTGAACGACAACGCGTTCTATCTTCTCCCGAAGAAACTGCTGGACAAGTGCCTCTCCGTTCTTCCCAGTGAAGAACACAAGAGAGACTGCAATCGAGATCGTCACCCAGAGCCAGCCTTCGCAAGCTGAAAGTGATGACACGCAATTACGTGGAACAAGACCTGGAGATTCATGGACAAAACCTGGAGATAGAATGTGTTCAAATTTCAGGGTATTGGAACATTTTCACGAGCCCATATTGAGGCAATGTGTTATCTGTCGACTATGAAGGACCAATGCCGAGCAAGGTGTCAAATTCTGCACCTTAGCTGCTTTCAAAACGTGATTATGCACCATACCTTCAGTGCAACATCCTTGTG